TCAACTCTCATTAACTTCCCTCTAACTCAGACGATGAAAAATTGAAAATACAATAGCCTGCGTTACACTGGTCGTAAATTCAGGTTGGTGCAAAGGAGGGTATTGTTGTCTATATCCCATGCTTTATAAAACACTCGTGTATTTTAGATAGTGGGTTATATCCTTGGGCACAAATTACCAATACAACTACAGATTATAGAAAATACCAATATTTCATTCACAGCAAATGTTTTGACATGTTGGGAATATTTCTATATTATCCCTGTATATAAGTGGTAAGTATAATATTTTGAAGCATATAACTCTCCACTCCACATACACAAAATATTTACAGGTTCACAGTCACCCAAATGAATTCGCAAGGTCAAAAAATGGCCCTCACGGCAAAAAGTTAGTTCCTTGCGCTTATCAATCGTCGCAACAAATCACAAAGGTCCTAATCCTTCCCTCAACATCTCTTCTAATTCCATCAACTCTAAATCAATGTCTTCTTTGGACATATCCATTACCCATGCAATAGAAAAAAGTAAATGGATTAAACACATTTTTGAAACTCAATTGGACCATATTGCCAAAGCCAATAGAATTTAATTTTTATTTCGATTCCAAGAACGATAAAAATATGAAATTAAAAAATTTAAATCATGACTTCATTATAAAATGCATAATTCCCATAGTTTTAAAATAGAACAATTGTCTTTCATTTTTTTTATTACCTGGTGTCCACAACGTTCGCACAATTTTTGCGTCCCTACTGACAGTTGTATAAACTGTCAACCCCATATATCTTATGTCATTTTCTACCATCACAGCATGCCCAACATGCAATAAAACAAAGAATGTATAAGTGTTTATAACATATATGTTATAATTAGTTATAAATATATACATAAAATGGGGTTGTTTGTGGGGAAGAAATCGTAATCTCTTTCGGCAAGATGATATAGTGCTAGTTGGACTAGAAAAACACAGAAATTTGTAGAAATGTTTGACTGTAGGGTATAGTATTCTTCAAATTCTCAATCGATAGACGATCGAGAATATCAATTATAGTATATCAAAAGGCAAATCACTGTGACATAATAAAATTACAATGCTTAACATATGAATTAAAAATTTATTATAAAATAAAATAAGTATTTTAGAAATACATATTCTATCGATTTAGGTTCTGCAAAGAGAACCTCGAGATGCCAACTATCTTCATCCTCCATGAACATTTTAACTCATTAAAAAACATATTTATCATAAAAAATCATCAAAATTACATTTAAAACATAACCCCACAAAAAAAAAGAGTCTGCAAATCCTAATTAACGTCTTCCTAGTCCCTTATTTATAGAAGTTGAAAAGTTGTGTCTTGAACAGACAACCCTTTTGAACCTGCAGTTTAACAGTCAACTGCTAGATTCTAAAAGATGCCACATATTGCGCACAGAAGAGCCCGAGAAAAATAAATAAATAATAGCATGGAAGACGTTAATCGGAACTTGCAGACTATTTTTTTTGTGGGGTCTATATGCTTTAGATGTGCTTTTGGTGATTTTTTTTTATGATGAATATGCTTTTTAGTGAGTTAAAATGGTCAGGGAGGATGAAGATAACTGACATCTGGAGGTTCTCTTTGCAGAACCTATATTGATGGAATATGTATTTCTAAAATACTTATTTTATTTTATAATAAATTTTTAATTCATATTTTAAGCACTGTAATTTTATTATCTCACAGTGACTTACCTTTTGATATAATATAATTGATATTCTCGATCGTTTGTCGATTGAGAATTTGAAGAATACTGTACCCTACAGTCGAACATTTCTACGCATTTCTAGTGTTTTTTTAGTCCGACTAGCATTATATCATCTTGCCGAAAGATATTAAGATTTCTTCCCCGAAAACAACCCTATTGTATGTATATATTTATAACTAATTACAACATATATGTTATGAACACTTATATATTCTTTGTTTTATTGCATGTTGGGCATGTCGTGATGGTAGAAAATGACATAAGATATATGGGACTGACAGTTTATACAACTGTCAGTAGGGACGCAAAAATTATGCGAACGTTGTGGACAACGGGTAATAAAAAAAATGAAAGGCAACTGTTCTATTTTAAACTAGGGGAATTATGCATTTAATAATGAAGTCATGATTTAAATTTTTGAATTTTATATTTTTATCGTCTTGGAATCGAAATAAGAATTAGATTCTATTGGTTTTGGCAATATGATCCAATTGAGTTTCGAAAGTGTAATTAATCCATTTACTTTTTTCTATATCCAAAGAGGATATTGATTTGGAGTTGATGAAATTGGAAGAGATTAGAACATTTGTTGCGATGATATGCGTAAGGAACTAACTTTTTGTTGTTGAGAGCCATTGACAATACCCTTCTNTCGAAATAAGAATTAGATTCTATTGGTTTTGGCAATATGATCCAATTGAGTTTCGAAAGTGTAATTAATCCATTTACTTTTTTCTATATCCAAAGAGGACATTGATTTGGAGTTGATGAAATTGGAAGAGATTAGAACATTTGTGATTTGTTGCGATGATATGCGTAAGGAACTAACTTTTTGTTGTGAGAGCCATTGACAATACCCTTCTTTGCTCGCACCAACTTAGTGGTGGTAAACGGGCGCGGCTCGTGAAAAGTCGGCTCAGGCTTGTCATTGGATATGGACAAAATCGTCCTTTTGCACCAACCTAGTGGTGGCAAACAGGTCGAGCTCGTGGCCCGCCTAACACAGTGTGACCGTTTCGGTCACTGAAATTTAAAAGCGATTGGAAAAAAATTCAGTGACCGTTTCGTCACTTTTAAAGTTCAATGACCGTTTCGGTCATTGTGTTCCACTCGCCTTGCTTTGGACGAGAGCCGCCGACGAAGGCTCGTGGATGAGCTCATTGGTCCGCCCATGAGTCGGTTTTTCATGAGCGGAGCGGCTGAGCCTCTCTACTCAGCCGCTCCGCTCGTTTGCCACGACATAGTGGGTTATGTCGTTGGGCACAAATTGCCAATACAACTATAGATTATAGAAAATACCAATGCAAGTGAAAATGGGAAGGAAAAATAAATCTTACTCCTTTGTTTCAGAGAAAAGCTCGTACGATGAAAATGGAGAACGGAAGAGATATATTTGTAATAATTGGGTATATATGATTTATATTGGGTATTGGCAGTTATTTTAAATACAGGCGTAAGTGGGCCATTCCACACTTCATTCCAATACAATAAAATATTTCGTCGATACGAAGAAACAATTGATTATTAATTTACAAAAATATGGTGATGATATATCTTTAACTTTGAATTTATGAAAAGGGATGACTAAAAGAGGTTATATAGCTGCACATTATTTTATCTGGAGTATAGCTGTATGGTGCTTAGCCCTTGTTTGGGGCACATTTTGGGGGCCATGAATGCATTTTTTTGTTGACGTTTTGTGGAATTAAAGCTTAGAAGATATTGTGAAGACTTGCCTATGTTATTTTCTTTGGCATGGATCATGGACATCCAATTCAAATAAAATTCATTCTAAATATTTAATTGAGCAAATTTCTAAAGCTTTAACTTTTGACATACTTATCACTTAAAAGGAATTTAGAATGAATTTTATTTGAAATGAATTATATGCAGGGTAGACTCATGAAGGAAGTTCAGTGGGGGTGAAACCAAAAAACCTAAAAAAACACTTAAAACAAAATAACTAAAAAAAATTGAAAATTGAGTGGGGGCCGACGCTGATACAGCGGAAAATTATAGAGAAGACAAAAATTCACACAAAAAGAAATTCAACGAGGAGAAATTCAAGAAAACTTTATTTCATCCAAAATTGAGCTGCCTTTCGGAAAGAAATTACCTAATAATAAAAAAGATTATTCTTTTTCAAAAATGGAAAAAATTGAGATAATGACGGATCTTGATTCTCCTAATCATCACGATCAATCCCCAATGTGATTGCAGAAGACTTACTAACACCTCCGGTTAGTATTGTAGTTTCGAAGTTTGCTTTTAATGTAGGTAAGAGAATTTTGTTCGAGATCAGGAGCCGACTGAAAGATGTTTTGGAGGCATTAATGTGCATGAAGAATTGACAAGACGTTCATTTACGACTACAAAATAAATATGCCAAAATTGCGTGATGTCAGGTAAGTAATATTTAATCTAATTATATTAATAAATTTGCTATTTTATAATACTATTAAATTTTTTTTTTTTTTAAATGTACAAATAACAAGTTATTCGTGTACAATTTTTAACTCTGCCTAATTGGTATTTAAGTAGTCGGTCTCAATCCCGGACAAAGGAGGAAGGTTTTAACTTAAGCCGGCGCGGCCCATTGCCCTCCCTATAGGCAATATACTTTCATGTTTCATTTTTTATCAGATTACCTGAAACTTTTTTAAATGTAATTTGTAATACACAATATGTAATCTGTGTTTTCCCGAATTTATATTTCTTTTTTGGTGGTGCATGTGTGTGCACGTTTTCAAGGAGGTATGTTGTTAGGAATGCTTAAAAAAAACACGAGAGGTATATAATCCATTAATTCATACAGCTCTTGCAAAGTGTAGGTTGAATACTATCATAGTTTCTAGTAATTTAAGAAAGGGGGGTCTCAATTTCATATCTGCGATCTTAAAAGAGTTCTGAAACTCCAGCATTTTAGTAGTGCACTACTATCATGTTCTTTAATGAGCAGATGAAATTTTTCTAACGTTGATGATAAAGCAATGTGGAACTGTGTTCTTTAGATTGTTATTTAGCTTTGTATTCATGGCCTTTTGTTGTTTATAATATTATAATTGGAGCAGACGTAACCTAAGATGCTTATGAACGATTGGTGTTTCTTTATGGTAGATACATCTTATAATCTGGAGCCTATATATTTCTTTTTTATCTTTATTTTTTTCAACCAAAGTGTCCAACTTCTCATCACTCTTTTCCTTTTGTTTAATGAAGTTTCTGCAGCTTGTATGTTTTACATTTGAAGTATGAGGAATTTTAAGTCGATCAAACTTTTCACATGCATTCAACCTGCTTAAGCATGTTCATCATAGTTTGAGATAAACGGTTTGTGTATGAAAATTCAGGATACCTTTAAAAACCAAGAATCCATAATACCAGATGATCACAATCAATATTTCTGGCAATCTATTCAGTGCAGATGAAAACTTGCAACTGATCTTGCTTGCACTGTGTTGTAGCAGCTGGTTACCCATGTAATTTTCAATTCGTGGACACCTTTTTTACAGTGATAATTAATGCAAGGCAACTTATGTGCTCATGTTCAATTTCCATTTATCTCCATTATTTTACAAATACATTTCTATCTTATTTTCGATCATACATTTTTTAATAAAATAATATTACACGCAAATTCAAAACTTTTCATTATCTTTTTAACCACACATTTTCATTCAAAATACTATTTCAAAATGAATTTTGTTCCCAAAATTGGAGCTCAAAACAAGCTTGAAGTGTCTAACTGAGAGATTTTAGGATGCAATATTTTTGGTGATATTTTAGTAATAGAGTATCATAAAATATTATTAAATAAATATGTAAATACAATTTTTCCCCTAGTTTGAGAGCCAGCTAGTTCGAAAGTGTTGATATGGTTTCACTCAGGTAATTAACCTCATTTCTTGATTTAAAGTCACTTATTTTTCACCATTAAGTTATAAGTCCAAACTAAAATGCATAAATACATTCTCTTTGCATGAGCAGGTGCGCATACCATGGGAAAAGCTCGAGATTGGCTTTCGAATAAATGGCAGCAATGCGAACTCTCCTGACATTAATTGGAATAATTACAGTCCCCCCAGCAACTATTGCTCAGAATCTGATTCTAACGCAGCACTTGCAGATCTTGATCATATGACTTCATCTATGTTTATCGAATTAGTATAGAGAAATCTGCATGGAATAGTTGTAATCCCAAGTCGTCGATAGTGCAAATTATACGAACTCTTTGTCCCTCCCTCTGCTGTATTATTCAAATAAAAAGGCAAGCACTCTCTCTCTCTCTCTCTCTCTCCCTCCCTCTCCCTCCTGTTTTTAGCTTTTTTTTTTATCTGAACCAAATCATGTTTGTAGATGTACTGAACTGCAAGGCGGATCTCTCCCTCCCTCCCTCCCTCCCTCCTGTTTTTAGCTATTTTTTTATCTGAACCAAATCATGTTTGTAGATGTACTGAACTGCAAGGCGGTTGCTGTTTGGGCCAAAGCAGGGAGGAGCATCTTTCTCTAATCCTGAAATGTACGGAATTTTGTCCGAGTTCATTTCTCATTATTGACAATACTACACTCCCTCCCTCCTGTTTTTAGCTATTTTTTTATCTGAACCAAATCAAGTTTGTAGTGCTTCAATTTCATCTTGTGGCTATTTTTTCTTCTGTAGCATATCACGACAATAATGCTTGGTGTACATTATTTCTTACATCATTCCTTACGCTCTGCCACACGGCATCATTTAAGTTGACAGGTTTAAAAAAAATGAACAGTTTTTCCACCAATTTTTTTTTTTTTACAACACAGCAAATGTCATCCATAATGTAAGGAGAAGTATACAAACAAAATAATCGATATCACGGTAGCAGCATTAGATGTGCATTAGAGGTGCCAGTAGTTGGGTTATTCAGCCCACATGCTTTGATTCGTAATACAGGTGAATTTTTTCTTAAAATTTAACTTCCAAAGTCTCCGTTTTTATTTCTAATATTTTCTGCTTTGTTTTGTCAATTTTTGTATATGCCATAACCGTTGGAGGTAAAGGTGGTGGAAGGGTGGGCGGCAGTCGCCGTTTGACCAGCTATATCCATCAAGTGATTCAAGTCCCGGCGAGTTATTGCTAACAACAAACAATATACAGCTTTCTCTTATGTATTCCGGATGTTACTTCAATATTACTTTTTGATTTGAACATGTAGAAATTTGTCGTTCCTACTTCCTTCTCATCAAAGAAGAAGGATTGAGCAATGGTAGAAGCCAAGATTTTAATTGCATGAGCTAATGTAGAAACGCGATAGTGTTGCATGAACAACTTAAAATAAATGAAGATAAAGCAATTAAACGATGAAACATTCTATTTTGAGTCAAGAATTCGGGGTACAGGGAAATTCGAGGACGATTAATTTATCAAATTTCAATCAATGTTACAATGCAGATCAAACAAAATCAGACTCGTAATCCTCATTGTCATCTTCACAGTCGAGTACACAAAATATTCTTCCATATTATTCAAAACGCAAACCTTACAAATGATCAAAAGATTACGGAATGTCCCACAGCTTTGGCTCAGGCACCGCCACTACCATACCCGGCAGCTCAGGAGAGAGAACAACCTAGCATCCGTGCCTCGAGTGTTTATTCAGAACCAGAGAACGAGAATTCCTCTTCAAAACGTACTGCTCCTCGTAGGATGAGGGAGGCAGCTTCTCCAGCCACTCCTGGGCGATGTGAACCTCGCACTCAGCCGAGAAAGCACCTATTTCCTCGAGCCGGTGCGATTAGATTGCGGTTGGTTAATGCCTTGAGAAGGGTTTGACAGGAGAGTACTACAAATAGAGATGAGTAGGAGAATGTGATCGCCCCTACATTTCAAGAGATCTAAAATTGTTTGGTTATGTTCTTTGATTCCTCTCCAATCAACCATTTTCGGTGTTTATGGCATCTCTTCTCTTCTCTGCTCATCATCTGGATCTTATCAGGTAATCTTTGAATTATTATTTCAGGAATTATGTCTATATTTGATAGATTCTTTCAAGTCTTGAAATTAGTGGAGTTGACATTGATTGAATATTAATTAATGAAAGGAAGTTAAGTGGTTGGAGTATTATTTTGCATCAATCTAGAAAGACCAATTCATAAGAATGATGAAATTTCTGTAGAATACTTTAGAGTGAGATATTGAAGTAAAGTGGCTTATAAGTGTTTTGAGGAAGGAATAATGACACAAAAAACAAGGGTTAATTTGTTATTGTTAAAACGAAGTTGTAGGATTTCCTCGGTCGGAGTTTATCCATTTCATCGTGTTTTTCTTTATGCTAGGGAAGTTACATAAAACATCAAAAGTTGATAGGCTGCTTGTGTGCTGGTGGATGTTCCCCCGCCTAACGCACATTATCCTCATGGATATTTCGAGTTTTCTCCAGAATTTTACAAGGAGAAGACTCCACATTACCTAGCAGAAGTTTGTAAGTTCTTTATATTTATATACTTTCTTCATCCATTCATCAATCTTATATCATAGGTAAGATGACTTGGCAATACTATTGGCACTGTACATTCTACTTATAAGTGAAAATTGGCAGGGCAAGAATTCAGCAAAAGTGATTCAAGGTATACCAGACGGGATGTTAGTGTCGTCGATGTAGAAGCGATTACTCCTATTACGAAAGTACTTACATTTCTTTCTTGGCCAATATTACCGCTGATCTTAGTGAAATCTGCTTGGTATGCTATAGCAACAGAAGTCATACAGCTACATACGTCAAATGGCCATTTCTTTGGGACTGCTGTATATTTCATCACTTGGACAACTTTGCTTCGTCATTGTATCACTATTGTGCCTACTACATAATGGCTAATGCTTCTTGGGCTATAATCCCCAATTTCATTGTGGTTAATTGCTGAAAGAAAATATGTACAGCATTCCAGGTTCAGGACCAGAAAAGGACAGAATTCCTCTAAGATCATGGCGTAGGACCAACCTTTTTTAACTATATTTGTCAAACATTGGTGTTTTGGTCAAGTTGTTGGGCATGACACGAACTGATACTGTTTTCTGTAAATATTACGAGGTTCTTAATATTGTTACTCAAAATCATGCAAGTTTTAAAGGACTAAAGCAACAATAAAGCTAATTGTACAAACATGGTTGACAACCACGTGTTGTCCAAATTCGAGCATTTGACATAAAAAACAGTTTTCAAAATGGATGAATGTGATGCTACCAAGTAGGATGTTGTCAACAAAGATTGTACAAGTAGCACGATTCCTAAAGCAAAGCATACTATTTCGGTGTTGCAGAGAATATGAGATTCAAAACAGTAATTGTTCAAATATTAGCCCAATACAATTACTGCGACAAGATACAGAATATAGTTGGAGAAAGGAAAATGAAAATGAAAGTATTGTTGCCAACTTGGAAGTGATTTTACCGAGTCACGAAACACGAGAAAGGTCACTGCCGCCCTATCTTACCATCCATATTTTGCATGTGTTTGTGCTTTAGTAAGGAAACCTTTGGCACGTCGCTCTGCAAGCTCCATCTCTTTCTGTCTCAGATCGTAAAGTAAGGAACCAATTTGATGCTTCCTTTTATGTAGCTTTGAAGGCTTACCCTTGGTTGAAGCGGGCTACAAGAAAGCAAAATGCAGATAATTTAGATGTGTTCTTAAAGCCAGTCATTAAACTCGAAAGAAAAAGATAAAATAATACACACGATAATTAGAAATCACCTCTATGTTTGAGTCAGAGTTTCATTAAAAGGAAAAGGTATAATTTATCCCAAACAAGAGAGAGAGAGAGAATGACTACAAGAAGTATGCAAAAGAAAAATAATTTCTTAAGCTATAGTTTATTAGTCGTGTATGATTCAAATTCAACGCTGAACATTCATGCTGTCCATGTAACATCTTTAGTACCAGCTTCATATCAGGTACTGTTGATCACATAATTGCAATCTTTTTCTTATTCTATGATGCATAGTTATTTAGAACATGAATCCCTGTCCACCTACAGGGGGAAGAAAGAAGAAAAACTGAAGCAGGCCAAAAAATAAAATGAAGAAATTTACATGCTGAAGATGTAGTTTCTTGGAGAGAAAAATGAGGACGAAAGGCAATTTTTCTATGGAGGAAAATATCAATGGAACTGGAGAAGTTTCACGTTTACAGCTCAAACCGTAACTCCAAACCCATACTAATCTTGTCAACCAAGAATGCAATCAAGACAAAGACAAAGAAAAAAAGCCCAGAAATAGAACATCTCTTAAGCCAAGAGATAATAGCAAGAACCAAGTCACCAACTTAACTAGAATATTGTATAATGAACACTAGATTAACTTGAGGCTAGAAACTACAATTTTCAGCAACTCCGTTAATATTTTTCGGGGACATATTGGATACCTAGATTGATATTATTACAATAAAAGTAAGACTTCAGCCCGTTCCTCAACAAAAACTATGGCTTGTAGGAAAATAACTCGTCCAAGATATTGTTTCCCTCAAAGAATCTTCGACTTCAAACGTATCAAAGCTTAATCTCATTCACTAGCACTCCTGACCGCATCAGCCAGCCTCAAAGCTAACTATAGTCTCTAACATGATGTTGAGAAGGTATGAAAAGTTAGAAAATATTTAATATTTCTAAACATTGCCGAAATATTGAATGACCAAATGAACCCAGAAACAACAGTTGTTTATAATGAAATTTTGGCAGCCATTAACAAATAACTGGACAGACCAGAAGCTAGTGACAATGGGATGACATAACCAGAAATTGTTGCATTATATTATGGGAAATCAGATTGTTAGAATGGGATTTTCCACCAATATATTGTCCTTCTGCTGACGAAGTTATCGTTCATGACTTAAAGCCCCACCTTCTTGGTTTAAGTTCTGTGAGATATCACTTAAGCAATAATGACCCATATGCAATGGTGTGGTGTTCACCCAGTGTCTGATAAAACTAAAACACAAGATTCCCCTATTGGCAAAGGTCTTGTTGTTCATGATGTATGCTTATGTCCTGTTGTGAGATTTTCAATGGGGGTATAAATACCAGCAAGAGAGTGTTTAAGGATATCTAGTGTCATTTCATATAAAATTGTTCAACGGAATGAAAAAGATTGAAGACTGGAGATGAAGCAAAAATAGTATTAGAATAAAGTTTTTCAAATCATTTGTATTACGTGGTAAGATATGAAATTGAACTTACCATCCACCGATATGGTAAGAACACTATGTTGCTTTCTCCATATAAACTCACTACATATCTAACACCCTTTCCCTCTCTTTCCCACTAGGTAAGTTCATTGGAAGCACAACAGGTATCAAATTAATAAAATTATTCTAATGTTTCTGCATAAATAGTTTCTCCAAAAAGTACTTTTGATATATAGGCTTATGAATTTAAGTTAAATAGTCCTGAAGCCTACTCGTGACTACCAAGGATTAAGTATACAAACTCTATTTAAATCCGCTTAACAGAAATATATCGAGAGTCAAACGAATAGTATTATCATAAATCAACTCAGTGTTTAAAAAGGTTGAATCAGGTGTAGAGGCGATTAGCAACCTTGTCTGCCTTGAGGCATATGCCTTGATACATGTGCCTTAACAAGTCAAGGCCACAAAGGGCACTCAGACTGTAAGCTTTTAGACTCCTAGCCTCAAATGTGAGCCTCTAGTGCTTTTAAAACGCTGTATACGCACTAGAAGGCGCACCACTTAGAGACAGCTTTCCGACAAATTTTATGAGAACAAATAACTGTATCTTGAACATTGTCTTCTGTTTTAGGAATCTCAAACAATGTCAATATTTATGGCGTTCCAAATGTTTCACAAACTAATAAGCATCAACGCATGAAAAATGCAAATTTTAGAAAGTTAACTTCTAAATTTCTGCTTAGGGGAACAAAAGCCATACCTTGTACGCAGGGCCAAAAGCAATCCCAGTTAATTTGGCTTGGTCTTCCCTTGGCCGATTTTTCAACAACTCATCCTGCCTCACCTCAACAATCTGCTCTGGAGCATCATTCCTACCCCTCTTCCCAGGCACTTGCAATCCACTTTCAGCCAATCCCGATCCCTCGGCCACTGCAGTTGAACCGGACCCATCAATCCAGTTACTCTCATACTGCCCATCGTCCCCATAACCCGCACCATAATTTGTATAATCCCCAGTTTGCCCATTCCAATTCGAATAATGAACACCTTCACCAGTTCCAACACTATCATCATAACCAGCACTGTAGCCATCATAATTTGCATAGCTCTCACTCCCTGAATTCACATTAGAATGATCATAACTCAACGATGACCCATCACCAGACTGATTTTCTGAATATCCTATACTGGATTTCACATCCGCATCACTCCCCATAGTACCAACGCTATTTAAATTTGATGCAGAAGCATCAGTTTCAAGCATAGATCTCCTACCAGTACCCAAAGCTGAAGGAAAAGTACCCAATGTAGTTGAGTTCTTGGGTGCAGGAATACTTGATAAAAACGACTTCACAGATGAAGTAGAAACAGACTCTTTCGACTTTTTTCGTTGTTTTTCTTTCTCGTCCTCATCTGAATCCTCCTCTTCATCCTTAGCTTTATTCGAAAAAGGATTAACAATTGGCGGAGGCCTAAATTGAACAACCCTTTTCGAATTAGAATCAAAAGAAGCAGATGAAGTCATGGAACTTGGGAGGACTTGACGGGCTTCGGAAATACCGGATTTTGGTGGCGGAAGTGAAGAAAATAGAGAAGAAGAAAATGACGACGATGACGATTTGGGTTGAGGAAGTGAAGAAAACAACGAAGTAGAAGACGATTTAGGGTTCCTATTTTCTGGGATTTCATCTAGCTCTTCTTGTTTAAATTGCGATAGGGGTTTTGGCACAGAGGGTTCCTTGAAATCAAATGGGGTCTGTGCGAGGTGGGATTTGGGTGGAGGTAGCGAATTAAAGAGAGACGATTTCGGAGGTGGGAGGGAATCGGAGATTTTCCTGGATGGTTTTGATAGAAAATCTTTTTCTCCTTCACCTTCTACCTTCACTTTTTGAGGATCCACAGATTTTTCTGGTAGTTTTGGCTTCTGCTGTTGCTGATTTTCCTGTTCTTGTTCCTCATCCGATGACGCGTAATTCGCTAGCAAAGAATCCATAAAAAGGATAATTAACAGAAATCCCTAATTCGGAAGCTGAAACTGGAGATAGGGCTCGAATTAGAGCATAAAATGTTTGTTTGACATACGTTCTCTGTATATATTGAGCCACTTGCACAAATTCTTTCAAAACACATTTTCAAACACGTAATTTTTAATAAAATAATATTTTTTATCACATTAATAATTTTTCCTTACTTTTTAATCATACATTTCTAATCATATCACTATTTAAAATACAATTTTTTGAATATTATAAATTATTTTTTGAATGATTTTAATCCCACCACGACTCAATTATTTAAATAATAGCTTACTTTTTGTTTTTCAATATATAATAAATATTACAAAATTCTTATCATGTATGAATTTCATATTATTAATTTTCAATTAATTAATATTAACATTAATCTAGATTCAATGAATATTGACTTTTATGAATCTATTCATGTATTCAGAAATTTTAATGGGTGTTTAAATTCATATATTGGCAATTAATTCTTATACTCCATCCGTCTCAATTATATTGGCTTATTTCGTTTTTCATACGGATTAAGAAATCTTCTTTAATATCATTGAAAAAATAATTTTTACCGAAATCTTTCCTAGTTTACCCCTATTTAATTTTCAGTATGTAAAATTAAATTATTGTTGAAACTAATAAATAATTTGAAAAAAAAAAAAGAAGAAATGAGAATAGTTCCATGTTTCCAAAAAGTGGAAAATGTGTGTATTTGGATGATTTCAAGAAGTTGACATATTAAGTGAGAAAAATTTAATGAGAGTATATTGATAAAGGAACAAAACAAAATATTCTACATTAGGAAACAAGTCTATATATTTGGGACAAGAGAAAAAAAGGAAACTCAGCTCATATAATTGAACGGAGGGAGTATAATAAATGTAGTATTAAAAATGTTGTTCATTTGTAATATTTCATTTTCACAAAAAAATTGAATAATAGAAATTGAGTTTTAAGAGTTAAATTTTATTTTCTTAAATTTCTATCCTAAATGTTATTTTTTTTTAGTTTATTTGAGATTCATCAAATCCTCATAATAAATTTGTACCAAATATTATATTTACAGCACTTATAAAATACTTCAAAATAACATACAATCACGATGAACTCTGATGAGTACTAGAAAATGGCAAGAGAGAATCTGCTTGTTAAGCTCATGTTTGACACACATTCTTTCAAAACTCATTTTTAACCACACATTTTTTAATAAAATAATATTTTTCATCACAACAATAAATTTTTCTTTCTTTTTAACTACATATTTCTCATTATGTCATTATTTAAAATACATTTTTTACTCAATAATATCCATCAAAGATGATACTCGGCCGTGCAGCAAGTGTAATTTATATTCATTCAGAGGGCATATTCGGTACCCGGTAAAATTTAGATTCCAACTTTTTTGTTAGGGCTGACCCCCAGTAAAGTTATGGGTCAGGCCCGTATACATTCTAAGGCTATTGGCCAGCCCTAGAAATTGGTAGCCTGTGGCCCACATAGAAAAAAGGTTATTGCCCTTTGTCGAAAGACCAATATATTTTGTACATTTTCACAATTTTCATAAAAAAATATTGATTTTTTAAGGTTGTATGCCAATTTTTTATTCGAGCATCTTTTAGTCCGCCGAATAGTGTTTAGAGATAATTGGAGTGTAGACTTACAAATGTGACAAGATAGTTAAATGTCAATAATATCTAATCACGTCGAATCTAAACAATGTTATTTTCGGTTGTTCAATATTGTAGTCGTTCAACGAGACTTATAAGTGGCGGTAGTAATTTAATGTATTAATGTGATAAATTTTTATTATCTCAAGCATTAAATGATTAACCGCCATATGTGTGTAACATATGATGATTACGATGTTGACCTATGATTAATTATAACCTTAATGTTTTGATTATAACAAAAAAATGAATATTATTTCTAACAATTGATTTTGAGTGATGATAGTTCAACTTGAAATCAATCGAACATTGACCAAATCAACTTATTATAAATCGGATTCGAAATGAAGAACAAAGTGAAAGTTAAGCATTCAAGTCAAATGATTCGAGATGATAGCGATTTGCATACGACGATCAAATTGAAACTTAAAAATTCTCAAAAGTTGCAAATCAAGACGATTACGGTGCATCATATGTGTGATACATAGGACGACTACGATAGTGAGTGATTATTAATATCATTATCCAACATTTAAACATGCCATAGAAACCATAAATTTTAAATTTGAAAAATTTAATGACCTTGTTAAAATAAAAAAGACCCAATTTTAAGGTTTGTTTGATAGGGTTTTAAGAAGTCAGAAATTACTTTGAAGACTAAGAAGTTGCATCTGAAAATGTTTGGATATTTTTTTTTGAAGTGTTTTATCCGAGTATAAAAGTTTCTTGATAAAGCTGACATAAAATAACTTCATCGGAAAATTAATCTACAAGAGAGTAAAAACCCTGCCAAACTATCCATAAATTTGTTAGGTATAAGCTTTTGTTTGTTGGATTTGTTAGAACAACCATGCTTCACGCATAAGGATTATTTTCACATGTTACTCACGACATTCATACATGTGGGTTTCGTGCATAATTTTTTTTAAATACTTGGTGGGCCCCACCCACGTGAGTAGCCTGGTGAGCCTGTGTGAAAATAATCCCTGTACGTGGGGATTAATTCTTGTTTGAATAATAATTTCCTACACAAAGCTCAAATATACTTAATTCTTGTTCGAATCATAATTTCCTATTCAAAGCTCAAATATACCTTAATTCTCAGACAAACAGCTGAAAGTGACTTTTATTGTTTCTTATATTCCACCAAGGTCAATAAACTCTCTAGAGTAACAAACTTCAGCAAATAACCAACAATTTGATTCAACGAAGAAAGGAATACACAGCAGTGGAAATATAAATCGCAAGAGCGGAGGTCATCAGAATCACCAGTGCCGCCACCGCGTGCACGGCGGACTTACTCCCACAAGACAGCATCCCCAATCTAATCTGGATCACATTTACCATTGACAGCATCAAAAACAAGCACCCCATCACGGAACCGACGGCGGAGGCCAACATCCCAAACCTCAACACCTTCAAATTCATATGGGCCCTGAAGATCTCATCCACATCCTTGCTGTTCAACAAATTAATGGCCAATTTAAGGCCTTGGGCCACTAGAGAGGAAAACAGAAAGAAGCTGAAAGACACGACCTCGAAAACTAGGAGTTTCTCAGCCACGTCGACGCCGGCATCGCAGGCAGATGGGTTTTCGAGGCTGTGCTGGCCGGGAGTCGTCAAGGAGAGACCCACAAAGACTGCTATTGTAAAGAGGGAATTAACATTTACCAGGCCGTCTAGGGCAGTGACATGGACGCTGGTGGTGGTGGTGGTTGGGAAAGATTCAGATCTGTAAAATTCAAGAAAAATGAAATTCCATCAAAACTTTAAATAATATATACGCAGACATTTATATACAGGAAGAAGAATTTACCGAGACATAATTAGGTTTCCTTGGGTGTGAAATTGGTGTTTTCAGCTTGAAATTTTGCTGTTTATGGACGGTTTATTTCTCCATTTAATTTCCTAGTGTAGAAGGGAAAGTAAGAGAAAGGAAGAGGAAAAAGATGTTCTTTGCTTTTGGGGTTTTGGATTCTCACTGTCGGAGACCGTTCGACGAAAGCCACGTTACAATTTTCATTCTAAATCTTTCATTCATTTTCAATCACATATTTTTTAATAAAATAATATTTTTCATCAAATCAATAATTTTTTCTTCTTTTTCAACCACACATCCTCCATCAATTTACTATTCCAAAATATATTATAAAGTGGTTCAAACACACAATCAATCACTGCTACTTGTATGCAATCGAAAATTGCATTGTAGAACCCCATCTTATGATGTACTTTGCAAGTCGGTCTCCAATTTCATTTTAGCATACGTTTGTAAAGAATTTATAGACGTTTTAATTTATAAGCCTCCGTTTTGGAATCAATTTTCTTTTTTTACAAATAAATGGTGGATAATTGGATAGTACTTGTGGACCATTGAAATTTGTGGTTGAATTAACTTATAAATGGTTTTTGCCGAATGAGGGTTCGATCCTCGACCTTTTATTGTTGTTGCACACAAAGTTCTGATTGACGTTTCTTTATAACTTTTTGTCAATAAGTCAAGTTGTTATTAAAATGAGAATTACATGAACTGGGACCGTTGGTAGGATATGGGAATTGTAACAATCTCCAATTTTTCGAAGCATAACACGAATTTTTATAAAACAATTGGGAGAGAAAATATACAATTGCATGAAACTATAAGAATTTGGAAAACATGGAAAGCTATCAGCAACCTATAATTCTCATAATGGATTTGAAAATTTTTTAGATCGACCGGAGAATGTCTAGATGTTTTGAAATCCGAACAAAAGGAAGAGATAGAGTGTCTAAATAGACTTTTTTTTTTGTCAATTTTGCCTAATTTGACGATAATGTTCAAATGATCCGAAATTTATACAAAAATGGAGATGGAGAATTTGGAAACACTTTTGAAGAGAGAAGAGTATATTTATCGCGACCTTTACTTTTATAGGGAAATTTGCAAAAATAGCCACTCGCCTATGACCCTTGTGCATAAGTAGTCCATGTTTACTACAACAAAAGTAACTTTTTACGACATTCATTTACGGCGTGCATATAAAACGTACTGTAAAAATTTCATTACAGTATTTACGGCATACATTTTTGAACAGCCGTAAAAATTGAATATTTACATCATAATTCTCAAGCATGCCGTATAGATTGATGAAGAAAATAGTTGTGATTTATTCGAAATCAAATACGTCCTTATATTTTAAATTTATTATATTTGAACTACAAAATTTATGAGGAATCAAATTCTAAACACACAATCTCAAAATTGTGAAAAGTTACATAATCCAATATTGTATCCATATTTTTTTTATCATAATATTCCAAATTTTAATTAATTACTATATCGTTGTCCAACTAAACATACACACACACAGAGAAAAACGATCTTCTAAGCGCCGATGCTTATATTCAAGAAATTAAATGATTTTCTAAACTCTAAAAGATGTAATCGAATGAAAAACACAAAATATATACGTCTAACGAATTAATAAAGATACACTTACTTTCACTTTTATTGAAATATATATATCTTAAACGTTGGAAATACAAATAATATGGTCTATATTTTGCTACAAATATTATAGTCCGAGTTATATATCAATATTCGGGTTTACATAAAGAATGCAGCATAAATGGAAGTAATTATATAAACCAGTAGAGCCGAACCCACGAATACAACAAGTGTCACAACGGCGTATACTGGTTCATCTCCACAAGAAAACACACCTAATTTCACCTGAATAAAGTTCACAATTGAAAGCATCAAGAACATGCATCCCATGATGGATCCAATTGCGGATCCAAACAACCCATATTTCAGAACTGAAGAGTTAATATCAGCTTTATGAGGGTCAGCTGCATCTAAACTGTTCAATAGGTTGATCGACAGCTTTATACTTTGAGCTATGAGGGAGGAGAATAGAAAGAAACTGAAGGAAACTACTTCGAAAACAATAAGTTTCCTGACTGTATCGACACTGGCGTTGCATGATGCTGGATGCCCAGCACTGCCGGCTGCAGGCACCGTTAGGGAGAAGCCGATGAAGATTGCCATGGTGAAGAGCGAGTTTACGTTTACTATACCATCCAAGGCAGTTACATGGATGCTCGTCTTGTTGGATTTCACCGCGGTGGAGGGTTGTGTCGTGGTAGGGTTTTGTGCGTTCAGTGAAACTTTTGATTGCGACTCAATTCTGTTCAGCAATGGAGGAAAGTGTTATCACAGAATTTCATATAGTCTAAATATGAAAACGATAATTCACGTACAGTTGAAATTAATATTCGACGAACAGAGGCTGAATTTCGAGTGTACATTCACAACAAATATCCATTTATTAACTACATATTTAGTGGGACCTATTAATCAAGAATAAATCTAAACAAATATGGCCGCATAGGCCTTGTTCATGACAGGGGCCAGCTCGCCCCTGGTGATAGGTGGGGTTGGGGGAGAGAATTCACGAATAGCGTAGCTCATTAATCAATATATAAGGATTATGACTTTTCCTATTCATAAGGTTGACCTTTAAGATAAAACTAAGGTCGATGAAAATCACATCTTAGCTTATAACTTACACACACATACATATCCCAATCTTGCAAGTCGGGGGATTAGTCTTTCAATGGCCTATGATGTGTTGAAGGATTATCTATCTAATCCGATCGACTGCGAAAGCCTACAATCGCATAGAATAAATATGTTACAAAAACCCTTTTCTAAAGCCTACAATAGCATAGAATAAATATGTTACAAAAACCCTTTCGCTCCACTTAGCCTTCTCCTCCTCTGGGGGATTTTAGTGATTGGTAGGTCAAATCTTTAACAATTTCATCATCTACGATTGAGTAGTGAAAATTCCTGGATAGGTATCCTAAGGGGTGCTATAATATGTTTTTGAGTACTGGAGTCTCAAATTATGAACGAAATAAAAAAGAAGAAAAACTATTTATTTGAGAGAGAGAGAGAGAGATTAGTACCCATCCAAGACGGAAAAGTTCGACGGTAACTGGGCTGAAGCTACGGCAGACATGATATTTCTTGAGATCTTTTTCTTATAAGATTATTTAAGTATATGGTGAAATGATGAATGCATATATTATATATGTACTCATATATATAGAGTTCAGCTTCAACATCCCAAACAAAAGGGCAAGGAGAATTGCATCAGAATGTTTTTCATATTTTCAGCAACTATTTATTTTATTATAATTGGTTTTAATTATTCTAAATAACGTCCAATTGGTGACTTTCTTGGAATGTATTTCTTGACCATGCATGCAATTTACCCTATTTGATATTTAAAACGTGGTCTCGACAACAACTGTTAAGAAACGAACAAATCCTTAAACAACCAAAATACATATTTTTTTTTGGGTATAATATTTTTATGTTTACCTACTCGGGGAAAGTTTAATGGATTATCCGTTCAACTTCCCGACAGTATAATTGTGTTGTTTTTATTTACCTAATTATTAGTCCATTTTCTTGCTGCCACTGCTCTTATAGCCGCCTCCATTACCGGAAATGACAAAATGCAGTGTGCACGTACCCCTTCGGTGGTGGCCGAATTGGTGGAGCAGGTGAACGCGGAGACCAAAAGTCACGAGTTCGAATCCCCTGCCAACACTTCATTTGTCGAGCTCGTTGCACCGTGTTTGTCTAGTGTGGTTTACCTCTCCTGTGTGGTTTGCGAACTACTACACATGAAGCGGGTTTACCTAGTGCGCACTCACAATGGTCGGGCATCTGCTCCTTCGGGATGGTCAGGGCTCCGCGGCGGGTAGTAGCTACGGGTTCCTACGTTAACCAAAAAAAAAAAAAGAAAAAATGCAGTGTGCACATGATTCATATGTGCATTCAACTTTCCGACAGTATATATGTATTGTTTTTATTTACCTAATTTTGTCTGAATGTTATTAGAAAATAATTATTAGTCCATTTTCTTGCTGCCACTGCTCTTAGCCTCCATTATCGTAAATGAGAAACTGCAGTGTGCACATGATTCATATGTCCGTTCAACTTTCCGACAGTATATATGTGTTGTTTTTATTTAACTAATTTTGTCTGCACGTTATTAGAATTAATTATTAGTCCATTTTCTTTCTGACACTGCTCTTATAGCCGCCTTCATTATCAGAAATGAAAAAATGCAGTGTGCACATGATTCATATGAACATAATTGAGCTTTTTTTGGTACTCTCTTAATGTATATTATTGTTGGTTTTTTGTTGCTGAACATTAACCTTTTGAGGGTGACCATGTATTACGTTGGACTTTACGTCTCTTGATCCCTAATTGAAGAACATATAGGCTCGATCATTCCACGCGACATTTGACCTGTTAACCTAAAAAAAATGTCATTTGAGGTGTAATACTTTTAAGTGTTGCTCAATGACTTAAAAATAATTGCAACCCTTGATCCGTGATCTAGATCAATGGTCTAGAGCCCTCATACGAAAGGAGGAAACCCTAATCATTTCACTACTTCACTTCACTCTTTTGTTTTTTAGCCTCTCTAGATCCATGACCAAAAAGTTCGACTGGAATAGGAGGGGAGCTACAGCTGCTATATTATTTTTGGAGATTGTTTTCTTGTAAGATTATGGGAAAATAGAAGAAGCGATCCTTAATTTTTCACTTTTTTCTTGCGGACTTTATTATAACCTTCGTTTTTGTATTACATACTTCAAACCTTTAAAAAATATGCACCTGGGGTTTAAACGAACGTTACTTGACCAATGAAAGTGGACTTTAACTAATTTTGACAAAATTAGACACTATTTGAGCCACATTTTCATTTTTATTTTCATTCTTGTACTCATTTTCAACTACACATTTTTCAATAAAATAATATTTTCCATCACATCAATAACGTTTCCTTTTTTTCAACCACATATTCACCATCATATCACAAAAAAGTGCATTATTTCCATTTTAATGTGCATCAAACTCACTCTTAAAAAAGGTAAAATTGTAACTTTACAATTATTGCATTAAATAAATAAACAAAAAATTAGAAAAAAAAAGGGCTTCTCTTCCTAGCCAATGGCAGTACCGGCACACTGTCGGCACCACCAGTGCCTCCTCATCGACAACTAACCACTATTGCCCACAGCCGTCGTTGCCCTCACCATCATTCCCCCTCCCAAATCTACAATTTTGCCCGACATGAACAAAACTTGGCCAAAACCACCAGGGTTACAACCACCACCAGCGTTGCACCTTCAACCCCTTAACTCACCCCTGCTTTCACCCGTTCCTACCAAATCAACCCAACACCACCACCATCCCTAACCGGATTAATCTTCTTCCCCAACCTCCGCTTCACCATATTATCCACGCACCACTTCAAATTCCATCTCTACATTCATCATTTTTATGCAAACAATAGTGAGTGCTGGTGAGGAGAACACTGGTGGCCGTTTGAAGAGTAGTAAGGGCGTCGGATGTATAGAAAATAGGGGACATTTGAGCCACATTTTTATTTTGATTCTTCTACTTATTTTTAACCGCGCATTTTTTAATAAAATAATATTTTATATCACATCAATAACTTTTCCTTCTTTTTCAATCACATATTCACCATCACAAAAAAAAAAAACGCATTCTTTCCATTTTAATGTGCATCAAACACACTCTTAAAA